TTTGTCTTGTGCCCCAGTATGTGATCGATCCTGGAGAATGATCCGTGTGCGCTTGAGAAAAATGTGTACTCCGTTTTTTTGGGGTTTAGTGTTCTATAGATGTCTGTTAAGCCTAATTGCTCTAGGTCCTTATTTAGAGCTTTGGTTTCTTTACTTATTTTTTGTCTTGTTGATCTATCCATTGTTGATAGTGGTGTGTTGAAGTCTCCCACTACGTATGTGTTTTCTCTGATGTCTGTTTTCAGAGAGGACAACAGTTGTCTGATATATTTTGGTGCTCCTTCGTTTGGTGAGTATATGTTAATGAGTGTTATTTCTTCTTGAAGTAATGTCCCCTTGATCATAATGTAGTGACCATTGGGGTCTCTTTTTATCTTTTTGAGTTTGAAATCTGTTTTATCTGATATAAGTATAGCTGTTCCTGCTTTCTTTTTTGGTCCATTTGCTTGTAGGATTGTTTTCCATCCTTTAACTTTGAGCCTATTTTTATCTTTTGTAGCTAAATGTGTTTCCTGGAGACAGCAAAAGGTTGGGTTTTGTTTCTTAATCCAGGCTGCCACTCTGTGTCTTTTTATTGAAGAGTTTAGTCCATTTACATTTAGAGTTAATATTGATATGTTAACATCTGTATTTGCCATTGTGTTTGTCTTTCCTTTGATTTTATTTATTTATTCTTTTTTTTTTTGGCCTTCTTTCATTGTTATTCGTCCCTCTGAGGTTCTGGCTTTAGGACTCCTTGTAGTATTTTTTGGAGTGGGGGTTTAGTTGCAATGAAATTCCGGAGTTTCTATTTGTCTGGGAAGGTCCATATTCTTTCTTCAAAGAGGAAGGAGAGCTTTGCGGGATAGAGTATTCTTGGTTGGCATCTGTTTTCTTGGAGTCTGTTGACTATGTCCCTCCACTCTCTCCTTGCCCGTAGTGTTTCTTCGGAGAAGTCTGATGTCAGCCTGATTGGTTTTCCTTTGAATGTTATCTGTTTCTTCCCTCTTGCCAGCTTCATTATTTTTTCCTTGTCCTGGATTCTTGGGAGCTTTACTATTATGTGTCTTGCTGTATTTTTCCTTTCGTCGTGGAAGTTTGGTGTTCTTCTTGCTTCTTGTATATCAATTTTCAGTTCCTTCTTCACATTTGGGAAGTTCTCTTCAATTATCTCTTTGAATATTTTCTCTGTTCCTACATCTCTCTCCTCTCCTTCTGGTATTCCTATAACTCTTATATTTCCTTTCCTCATGGAGTCAGATAGTTCCCGAAGTCTTTCTTCGTTCTTTTTCCTTCGTACTTCTCTTTCCTGTTCTGTTTTGGTTCTTTTTATTTCTGTGTCTTCAAGATTACTTATTCGTTCTTCCATTTCATCTATTCTGCTTTCATTGCTTTTCCCAGAATTCTTTAGTTCTTCCATTAATTCTTTGATCTCCTGCATTTCTTTTACTTCCCTCTTTAGGGACTCAATTTCTTTCTTCTGACCATTGTTTTCCCTCTCTAGGGACTCAATTGCATTCTTCTGATCGTTGATTATTTTTCCCTTATCATTGTTTTCCTTTATGACTTCTGTCAGTTTTTTAATCACGGCAATTTTAAATTCTCTTTCTGGAAGGCTCAGAAATTCTTCCAAGTTATTGTCTTTGCAATCTGGGGCTGGCTTTCTTTTTGTGGTGTGCTTTTTCTCTGGAGAGTTGCTAGGTTGCGTGTGGTTCTTCTCCTCCCTACTGTCTGTTTTCTAATTTGCCGTATGCGTTGGGACACTGTGTTGTTGGGACTGGCCGGCATCTTGGGTGGGCTTCTCTGTTCCCCTCTGGTTCTTCCAGGAGTCATCTGTCAGTTTCAAGCAGCCTTTAATGGAGAAAGGTCCCTGTTCTAAAATGCCGATGTGGGGACACACTCCCCTGTGCGTCTGGTCTGCCCCGGCGGTGGGTTCCTGCTCCCCTCTGGGCTTGGACTGCAGGCCAGAGGGGGTCTGGCGTGGGCGAACTTCCCCCGCTCACCTCTGGCTCCTGAGGAAGCCTTCTGCAGGTAGTCTTTACTGAAGAAATGTCCCTGTTCTAAAATGGTGATGTGGGACACACTCCCTGCGCGTCTGGTCTCAGGCACACTCTTCTGCGCGCCTGGTCTGCCCCGGCTGTGGGTGCTCGCTCTCCCTGTGGGCTCAGACTACTTGTTCGGAAGGAGCCAGGTGTGGGCTAACTCCCCAGCTGGCCACTAGCTCCTTCAGTAGCCTGTGCTGGGGTCAAGTCGCTAGGTGGCGCCAGAGATCTCTCCTAGAGCCCTTGGGGAGCTGATTTTCCACCCCGTGGGACAGGGAGCAGAGCGGGGATGGTAGGGTACACCTCAACGGCTTTGGGGTGCTGTGTCTGCCTTGTGCCCCACCGTCGTGGGGAACCCACGCCCCTAATTTCGTGCCCCGGGTCTCAGTTCCAAAGCCCTCAGTTCCAGGACGCGGGCTGTGGCCCAGATCAGTGGCGCGGGAATGGCGCCTTTTGAATCCCGCTCCCCTGCCTGGGCGCCTTGTTCCTGCTCACTCAGGGAGGGCCTCCGCCGTCTCCCCGCAAGCCTAGGTCGCAGGCGCGGGGACCTGGGCAGCTGCGATCCGGTCTGGATCCGCGCCACTTTCCGCGCAAGCTTACCGGGCGGCCGGGGCTGTGTGCTGGTGCTGGTCTCCTCCTGGGGGGCGGGGCTCTCTTTAATGGCGCCTGGAGCTCACCTCCGCGGCGGATCCTGCAGGGTTCGCCTCAGCTCCCGTTCACGGGGTGTGGTGGCTGCAATAGTTCCTTTCCGCTCACAGTCCCGCTTGCTGTGTCCGTTTTTCTTGTTGGCCGTTTTGGTTTGTTGTTTCCTCCTCTCTGCCGGTCGGAGAGTGCCGCCTCTGTGGGCGGGGGAGGGGAGCAGGGTTCTGCGCTTCCCTCCCTTCTCGTCCTCTTTTATGGCAACTTTCTTCTTCGGGCAGTTTGCTGGAGTCGTCCGTTTATCTTCCGTGTCCCAGTTCTCACTGGGACCTGCCGCTTTTCCTCCCTATTAACTTTTTTTTAATGGGAGATCTTACTCGCAGCGTCTCCTTGCCGCCATGTTGCTCCGCCCCCCAACAATGCCATATGCTTAACCCTAGCAATCAGCAGAGTTTAAAAGCCTCCTTCCAAACACAGCCCACTAAAATCCTTACTTCCCAGCCTCATAGGAAGCAGTCCCTTTTCTTGACCCATTCCTGCTTCCTCCACAGCCAGCTTTAGCATCAGAGCTTTACACACTCTCCTTTCAACCTGGTGTTTCTTAGCAGGATGAGACGTGGAGCATTCCAATGCTGGGGGCATTGATGAAAGAGAATAGGTCCCGGTGTCATAGAGAGGTGGCCACTGCCAAAGTAGAAAAGTATCCAGGGCTTACAGAATCAGGTAGGAGGTGAGAAGGACTCTCCTTTGGTATTAAAGCATTACAAAGTACAAACCAGCTTGTCACCATCAGCCCTCAGGGCATCCGAGTTTATCTTTTGAGTACTCCCAACTCCAAGACTTAATGACCAAGAAATCCTTGCCTGTGGGGATCAGAGACTACCCTCTGTACCTTTCTCCTTCATTACAGCAGCTTCCTTGTGGTAGCTGAAAGCTGGCTCTGGTCTGCTTCCAAAAATCATGAAATTAATGGTCACGTAGGACATTACACTAAATGTCCTACAAATGTGGGAAGTGTTTTCTTTATTTTTTGTTTTGTTTTGCGGTGTTTTTATTTAGATTTATAGTATGTCCAGCAACGGAAAAGGAGTCTTTGGGAGGAATAAATAGTCCAAATCTAGGTCCTATTCTACAAACATAACTATGCAATTCGTGTGTCAGAAACCAAATACGGTAAACACCATAGTTTCAAGGCCCCTTGTGCTTTCTTTTCAACCAACCTCTGTTATCTTTTCTACTTCCCCCCCTGCAAGCATGGGCCTCCACATGTGGGTGGTAGTACCTTATATTCAGTGCTCTGAGTTTGTCTGATGAGTAATTCCAGCCCGAAGGTCACTGAGCTTAGATCAGAGAAGTTTCGGTTCATTTGTGGCTGTCGCTATTGGCTGTGGTGCTGCCCCAAATCTCCTCACCACAGGGATGTAAATGCTCTTGTGGGCCATCTGGCCTTTTGACCCACTGGCTTCTAATCTGCTTCTCTGCAAAGACCACACCACAGGAAAAAAAAAAAAAAAAAAGTAGTACACTTGGGAACAATTTACTCCCGTGTCAGGTTCCTTCTGCCTCCCCACTTCTAACCGGTCTCCATGCAGGGCAGGCAGCTGTGGAGTCAGAGAACTGACCCAGCTCTCTGGGGGTGAGGCCACTTACTCCTACCCCAGACAGAATTTATCTAACAGAAAATGTCTTAATTCTCTAACACTAGAACTAGCTGTGGGCTGGAGGCCCAGTGTGCGGAGGGCAGGGCCATGGCTCACAGTCACTAACAGATGTCAGCGGCTGGGGCCCTCTGCAGGGATGGCGGATTTTTTTGGATTTGATCACAATGACTTAGTCAGACCTGGGGGTTTCTGTGGCAACCCTGGCCTGCCCTTGATTTCTTTATCTGCGCTTCCTAGTTAGGTCTCCCTAGCTGATTGAACCACTCGCCAGTGCTGCTCATGATTTGTGCTCTGGGAATATGCCATCTCTGGAGTTCAGCGTGATCCAAATAATGAGTATATGGACAGTCATTTTTGTGGGGGCTTCTCTGTAGCATATCCCAGATACCTCTAACAGGTGCACCAAAGGGAATGAGTTAAGTGGGGTGGGGCGATGAAGGGGTTGGCCCCCCATAGCCAGGTCTTGAGTGTTTGCCCATGTGATAGAAATTGAGAGGGCTGTGGTTGCCAGCAGGATAGCTTCTTGAATAATAGGTAAGTATGGGCCTCATGGTGGAAATATTCTAACTCTCAGTTCTCGGTTGTGGTTAAGATATACTCTGCAATCCTACCTCCTGCAGGTTCTCCTTCCACCATTGCCTCCTCAAACACTGTGCTTTCTTTTTCCTTCCCTGTTTAGGATGAAGGACACTAGCCGCAAAAACAATATGTTTGCACAGTTTCGGAAAAATGAGCGAGACAAGCAGAAATTGATTGACACGGTGGCCAAGCAGCTCCGGGGACTCATCAGCAGCCACCATTCATGAAAGCCGGCCTCAGGCCACAGAAGCTGCTCACTGCAGCCCCGTAGTCTGGACCCAGGCTGGCTGGCCCTACATTTGTGCATTCTTCTTCAAAGAGAGCAAATGTATTTTTTTAATAACCTATGTACAGTATTCACATAACCTTTCCCTATAGTCAAAGAGGCACAAGAATAAGCAAGTATATGAGATGTTGCTAGACTGGGACTCAGGGGAAGTTACTCTATGTTATCTGTATATCCTAGAGATGGTGAGAAGTCTCACCAATGGGCCCAGCAGGATGGGCCACATTTCATCCATGGCTCTAGAGCTTACTTAGGTCAGAACTACCAAACAAAATGGGTACTTGGCACTGGGAGGAAAGGTGAGTACACATAAAGAAAGTTAATAAAGTACATCCTGTTTACTCCTGGGTGCCCCATCCACCACATAGGTAAGGCTGAGTCTTCTTGATGCATGGAAAGGACCTGTAAAACTTTACTGTTTAGTCTAGAAAAGACCACCACCTAGTTCTAGAGCCTCATCTCAGCCCACTGGCTCATTGGCTTGTAGCAAGATGACAGCTTCACTCCAGTCCCCCAAGGAGGGCAGTTTCTTTAGCCTAGATCTGACCCAGTGCTCCTCCTGCTGATCTTTCGGGGTCAGAATAGAGCTGAGCATGCAGCGGTGACCGTGACTGACAGCTGATTGCCCCAACACCAGGAGGAGTCTTACTGGATCTTCAAAGCCAGTGTGAATGGAATCAGAGTCTCCATCCCTTCCCCATTCATCTCATTTCCTCCTTTCATGCTCAGGACACTTGGCTCCGAGCTTGGGTCAACAGCAATTTCCAAGGGTCTTTGCAAATAGTCTCAGACTTGGTTTCCTCCAGCAGTGTCACTGGGGTAGATCTGATTCCAGAAACCAGAAAATGGCTGTTACTTCACCCTTAGGTAAAACCTGATGGTTACATGGAATTGATTGTTCCTTTGTATTTTAAATCACCTGGGCTCCATCTCTAAAGGAAATGTCACCAGCTCTGCAGTTGGTGGAGGTAGCCACAGGTGGATGTCTCTGGAGATGGAGCCACTGACACCATAAAGTAGACAAGGCCAACTTTGGCTAGTGGGTTTGTTGCCTCTGGCCCAACCATCCCTCACTAAATCATATCATGGATATGAAGCTCTTCTCACTCAAGCCCAAGGCATCCATCCTCTTTTGAGATCTCCCATAGCCATCTTTTGACTTCATCTGAGAATGATTGTATATAATCTGATCCCCAAGCTCCATAGTTTACACAGAGAACCTGAACCAGCCAGCTTGGGAGCTGTGTCCACTGTCCCAGATGGGCTCCTGAGATTTAATGCAAGTGCTTTGCTGTGAGGTCAGTCACAGGAACCTGCACTTTAAGACACTTCAGGAAGATGCTACGTTGGCTACTGGCAATAGTATAATTGTGCATCACCAAACAATGACAAATAAGCCACACAGGCATTTCCAGCTTGGATTAGTGGGAGGAGAGACACATCAAACAGAATTCTTCATGACCTTTGTCAGCTACTGAGTTGCTTCTGGGGAGGGCAGTGCTTCCTTTTTCATTCCCCACTCCCTATACCCTCCCCGCCATATCCTATCTCAACTTGAAAACCATGGGAAAGAGAATATGCACACAGACATGCAGTTTCCTCAGGGCTGAAAAGGCCAGGCCGTGTGTTGCCTTGCAGAAGCCTTCTGGGGACATCCTGAGGGCTAGGTGGTTGGCACAGGCTTAGGATGAGGATCAGGGATGAGTGCTGCCTCCACAACTTCAGAGGCCAAGGAAGGCAGGGACCTGTGGGAATGAGACACAAGATGCCATCTCTCCCAAAGCCTGACTTTATTTAAAAAGATCAAGAAATGATTACACTAATCTGGAGTCCTACTGCTTAAGAAGGACCCCGAACACACTTCCTCACTAGTCCCCAATTTGCAGCAAGATCTCTTCAGCTTGGAATACTGAGACCTCGCAGTGGGGATGGAGAGAACCTTAAGCACATCACAACCTTTTGTCTCTTAAAACTTATCATCACTGTGATCTGGTTGCAAACCAGTACCCTGAAAGGACTGTGCTATGGAGGAGAACACGAACAAGGTGGAAGGACAGGAGGTGCACGAGACCTTGCACCTTCTAAGGACAGAAGCTTATTCGAGCTCAAGGCACATGAGGACGGGCCTTCTGCTAGACCTCTTCTTCCCTCTCCATCTGCCTTCAGTCTTCCCTGACAAAACCATCGTGCTGCTACTGGGTTTCTGTAGAGACGCACTCTTGGTGAGCAAGGGATGGTCAAAACAGGGACCAGCGGTGTCCAGCTTCTTTGACTGGTGAAGTGGGATATTTTAGTTTTGTCTCTAGGCCAAATTGCTAGGCCAACTCTTGAGAGGACTTGTAGAAAGCCCCTCAGATTCTTAAGATCCGGCCTCAAGGACCAGACATCCAGAAGTGCCCAAAGGGCTAAATAAAAGTGCAAAAACATGGGTGGCTGGAAGCATATTGGCCTTCTAGTTGGAGTAAACCTCGGCCAAGTTCTTTGAGACCCTAGTCGGTTTCAGTAGTAATATAAGTAACTTGCATAGTTTTAACCTTCATAGGAAAATCACTGTGTGGACTTTCAATGAAGTTGTTGGGGGTGAGAAGAACAGAACCTCAAACCTAGAACCAGCAGAGTGTCCCTGTTGGCAAAGGGAATGTCCAGCTTCCAGGGAGTGTGCCCCAGTATTTTTATCACATACCAGGCCTCAGTCTCCCACAACTCAAAATCCACTTAGCTTCACTGCTCATTTGTCAAGTGTTTGCCCAGCAAGTCCCAGACCCAGGACCCAGACCCAGGTCATTATCCCCCAAGCTAATGACCTTCATAGGGCCCCTGAGCACACTCCCTGGGACTTGCAGAAATCCCCTACCTGAGCTTCCTTTCTTCCAGGATCCTGCTCCTGATTGCTTCAACTGACTTTTTTTTTTTTTTGCCTGCATTAGCAATTACTTTCCACTAATGTATTGGAAATGGCCTTTTTATTTTGCACAAATAGTTGCACATTTATGGAGGAAATTTAGAAAAGCCCATTTTTAACTCTAAAGGGAACTTTTTTCTTTAAAACTCACTAGTAAAAGCCACTGGTACAGATGGGTCTCGTGGTTAGGGGAAAACCTCTTCTGTTGAAAGAGCATGTTTATCTCTCCTGTACATTTTCCTCTTTAAACTGCTATTAAACAAGAGAGCCTATGTACCTGTTTCAAAAGCCACAGCGTTGTCTCATGTTTTTGTTTGTTTGTTTTCCCACCCTTTTACACAATGCAGCTATGGTTGATGAACTGGAAAATAGACATTGCGTCTCCCTCAACTGGACAGAGAACTAGAACAGGCAAAAGCCTGGTGGGGAAGAGAAAGCCTACCTGCCAGGCCAGGCAAGGAGCCATGCTGTGGCCTTGGAAACACCTCAAAATACGAGGTTAGGCTTTCCTACATATTCAGTTAGCTGGTATCATCATCCAGAAGAATAACTTGAAATACCTGATTTTGCAGAATACTGGGCTAGGCAACTTGGGCCTAATGGGTTGAACTGTGGTCCTGCCATGAAAAGACTCCCAGTAAGATGATGTGATACAGGGTTCACTAGAACAAAGCCAGACTGGGGGAAAGGGAGAAATTTTAGAGCTCAGTGGGGACGGGGGACAGGCATTGTGGCCTAGTGGAGAGCGGGTCTGGTCAGGGAAGACAGCTCGGAGAGAGCAGGATGGTAACTAGCATGCCTCAGAAGGAATTAAATTCAAGCTTTGATAGCTACAGGAATATTTTAGGTGCAGTGAAAAGTTGGCATGAACTGGTATGTGCTGGGAGAATAGTCAAGAATCTGGTAGGCACATCTGGAAGCATGGTGAGGCCAGAAATGTTGGCGTAATGCCGCCCAAACTGCTCGCCCAACAGGCTGGCACAGAAATCATGGGAATTGACTGGAAAGATTTTCTTCAGTAACAATTCTGACTACTACCACCAGGCATCGATGCCTGAGAGGCCTGGGCTTCAGTTCCTACCTGGATGACCTTCAACAACTAACTCCCTAGATCTCGCAGCCCTCATCAGTGAAAGCAGAGTAGTCCCTAGCTTATGGGTTGTTGTGAAGTGTAAACAAGCTACGGATGCTCAAAATACTTAACTACTATCTAACCACCACATGGCACTATTTAAAGCCTTGCTCTCCCTCCCCTCCAGTTCCACAGCATCCCTCATGGCTGAGCGCAGGCCATACGTCTAGCGCCCATGCATGAAGCCGAGGTCCAAGTCCCTCAAAGCAGACAGCCGGCTGCCTGGCTCGGGGTAGACCCACTTCTTCAGAAATCTGCCCCTCGGCACCTAGCACTTTCTCTGCTCTCATTTTGGTGCCACAATTTATACCTCCTTCTAAAATTTAGGAATTCTCAATCAGGAGTTCATGAGATCCTGGAGGAAAGTGTGTGTGTGTGTCTGTGTGTCTATGCATGTGTGTATACCTGGGCACTCGTGTGCGTAGGCTTACATCCAACCATTCTTTCTGGATAGAAAGACCATGGCTCTCATCAATGTCTAAGAAAGATTCATGACTGAAATACTGCGTAATAACTATACCCCTTTGGAAACGCAAACCTGCCCATGAAGGAAAGCTGGAAGCTCAGAGCCGTTTCCTCCCCTCCCTGCCTCACGTACTTCTGGCAGGGGAATTTTTTAAACCCTGTCGCTCTGCCACCCACCTGGACCCCAGGTCCCACCTAAAGACCACTCACTGCAGCCATCATTCCTACTTTCTCTCCCAAAGCCATGTTATATGCTGGCACAGGGCATGAGGACCCCGCACTCACGAGAACAACGGGGTCTAGTACAGGGGCTTAAGCTGTCAAAGCCAAACTGAACCCCACTCACCCCAGGACACTTGCCACAGCTTCTGAGCACTGACTGGGACTGCGTCTAGCTCAAGGCCTTATCCATGGGGGCCAACAGCCCTTGAGTGCTGGGGGAGCGGGAGAAACAAAACCAGGGACAGATGTGAAACAGTTACAGCTTGCTCCTTTTCTCATAGCTAGACTTCTTATCTGCTCAGCAGGCAGAGGAGGGTAGGGGATAGCTGGGG